CTGGGAGTTGTAGGTCAAAACATCTGGGGAGTCACAGGTTGAGAACCACTGCATTAATGACATCTCAGGTGTAAATGAAATGTGTGTTCGTAGATAATATGTTTGCTTAACTTGGTAAGAACATGCCTTTCTCAAACCAGTCAATGCATTTATAGTTTGCCCAAATTATTTTTATCAAGGAGAAAATAGAAGAACTGATAGAAAAGGGAATTATCATCTTGGAAATATTGGGTAGTCTGTAAACGGAGAAATGGACTGAGACCTAGGAGTTCCCTGTCCACCATCACTTCTCAGGGCTCTTCCACACAGCCATGTAACCCACAATATCAAGGTAGAAAATCCCACAATATCTGCTTTGAACTGGGTTATCTGAATCCGTACTCGTGTATTCCAGTTCAAAGCAGAAAATGTGTGGAAGAGGCCTCAGAGATCTGCTCTGAAGGGCATTAAAGTGAACTATCTCACTGCTGTATCAAAATAATAGGTTGAACAAATCCATATTGAGAGAAATAAGTTATGAAGTACTTTCAACTACTATATTAAATCAGATTCAAAGGGAAGTATGAATGTTTTAAGCAAAACTTTCAATATTTATATATGGATAGGTGCATTAAAATGTTTTATTTAGGTCTTAGAGATCAGTGTTTTGGAATGTTTGAAGAATCGAACATAGGCGAACATTTCTCCAGGCACTGGTTCTTCTAGTATTACCAAGCCAAAACCTTGAGTTTGGTAGTAAATGTACAATTATTTTCTTCTGAGTAAACCTAACCAGCTCTCTTGGGGCTGGCAATCCATCTTATAAGTCACATATGATATAAGAATTTCATATATAACTATCAATTTCACATCACAGCAATATTGAGTATGACTTAATTGTCGGAGAGGATTTGAATTGACTATTAGAACATAAGGCTAGATATTCTGACAACAGGAACGGACTGATTAAATGGTGTCTACATTTATATGGTTTTTAGAGGGTAAACAGCTTTTAAACTGTTGTTTATTAATGTTTTTATTAGTATGTTTTTAAATTTTATGTAGTGATAATTGGTTATTGTTCTTTGTCTATTGCCTATATTATTTTCTGTATCTGTTGATTGTTGTAAGCCGTCCCGAGTCCCTTTGGGGAGAGGGGGCAGGGTATAAATAAAGTTTAATTTAAAATAATAATAATAATAATAATAATAATAATAATAATAACTGTACTACAAATCTGATTAGTTATCCCCTATTGATTTTTCCCTATATTAATCTTCTGGACAGAAGTAAAAGAGAAAACATTTGAGATTAAAATAAAAAAAAGTTGTTTAACCCATGCAATGCTGCTAATGCATATCAAGTCAGTATCTTTTTTTTCTATTCAAACTCTCTTTCAGTAAGAAGTAAGTATGTCAAAATGAAAACACACACAGTAGACACCAACACACCCATTCCTGTTTGATGGGAATCATTTTTATCTAATCCGTGCCATCCTTTTCTTTCACCAGTTCATCTAATTTCGTCTATTCCATTATGTTTGCAAAAGCCTGCAAACGGACAAATGTACAGCAAGATTTGGGCCCCGAGGCCGGAGGATCAAGATGGTAGGCTGGCTTTGGCTTCCCAAGGGACAAGAGAGCCAGAAGGGTGATTGGACACAGTGACCTGTCTGCATGAGATGAGACAAAAACAGGAGGGCTGTAACACTGATGAACCGACCTGTCACTCACAAACTCAGGTCTTGGGGGAAGATCGAGGGGGAAGGGAGCAAGTTTCTGCCAAGACCGCGACCGAGCAAAGTTGAAAGATAACATACAATTAAAATAATTAGGTGACCTGGCTAGCTGGGAGAAAGGGCAGGATCCTTTTCACCTATTTCAAAAGGTTTTGAAAAACAAAACATTAGGATAATAAGAGGCACTGTGGCAAGATCTATTCCTCTATCAAGGATTCCAAACTCTTCAGCAATGATTCAAAAATCACAACAAACGTCTACATTTTAACCTGGCGAGGAAGTAGTTTTTCTTCAGAGCATTCGGGGGAATTAATTCCTTGCTCAGGAGAGGTTGGAGGAAGAAAGAAAAGGCAAGGGAAGTTGGACACACAATTTTGTCCCTCCCAACCCAGTCTGCACTGTTTCTAGGTACCACCGCTAGCACTGCAGCTCTCTCTCCTAGCTAATGCCACTTGTCAGTGCAATTCAATTTGGAAAGTGGTGCTTAGGGATAGCTAAGTATCAAGGTAAAAAGATCAGGAAATTCCTTTAATTAAATAAAGCAGCATCCTGAACTGATGATCCTTTTAATACTGGTCCTTTCCGTTGTTTGCACTCCTGGATTCTATTGAGATTTGTATTTTGAGTAACAAATAAGTGTTTAGTTTTATATATATATTCTACTGCCATTACTACACACAGTTTTGACATTCCTGACTGTATCTGTTCACATACAGTTATGTGACAGTTGCTCGGATGATTGCGGCTTGATGAACAATCTAATTATTTTGCACTCAGAGATTATTGATCACAGCTTTTAGGATCATACTTGTTTCCCCAGAAAGTTTCATATGCATAGGGACATGGGCAAAATATTAGAACACACTTTTTTTTTTTTTACTGCCACTGATATTTCAATTTTCAAAAGAAACATTTACTTAAAAATTGGATTAAACATGAAAGCTTTGTTTTACTGACTTTCACTATTTAAGTATGCATGTTTAATTTGAAGGCACACCTTGCAGAATTTGAACCATATAACACAACAGCCATTCACTTCCAATGCTACCTGTGAAACTGTAGTTCTCCAGGAAATTAACACCATTATTTTCAGTATTTGTTTGCACAATAGTTGCTTTTTATGTATGTTATACATAGACCGCCCTGAGTCGCCTGTGGGCTGATATGAGTGGGATATAAATAATGTCAATAAATAAATAAAATAAAATTATACTTCAAATACCTGTAACATTTCCACACAACACCAAGGAGAGAACAAAATCTTAACTTTTACTATTGCTGCTAATCTTCTTCTGTTTTTAAAAGAAATTAAAATAACCAAAGTGCTACCAAGGTATCCTTGCATCTATGTATATTTGTATAATAAAAGTTTTATATTCATATATGCTAAATAGAAAATTCATTTGATTAGGTACACCAATTACAAATTATGTTACCTAACAAGTAATAAAGCGAGTGACCGATACATATTACATCAAATCCTTGTATGGCTCAAAACTCTCATGCTTTCTTGTAAGTATTTGGATTTAAAAATCAATACAGCAATGTTCAGAGTAATTTAACCTACCTTGAATTCAGTGACAACAAAAATAGTGAAATATCCAGCATGTTTTGTTGTTGTTTTTAATTACAAATGTAAAACAGTTTAAACTTTTGCATATGCTCAGAAATAGTTGCATTAAGGATGATCTCACAAGCATCAACAGTGCTTGCACCTTCCCTCTCAAAGTTTTGCTTAAAAGTTGGCTATGCAAATATGTAAACAACAAAGATAACACTGTTTTAGTGCTTGCTATATATGCATTTTAATGTATTGTAAACATGTTCAGCTGAGAGTGTGTGTGTGCTGAACACGTTTACGATACATCAAAACTTAAACATTGCACATATTTCCATGCTGCTTTTAAAGGTTTTGATATTTAAAAATCTATTTTTACAACATTTACAGCCGTGTAAGGCTGTAGTAAATATGATGCTACATTCTCTGTTTCAAATGCATTACTGAAGATGCTGGTATTAATAAACCATGTGTTTTGTGAGTTCTCCATTTCGCTGTAACAAGTTTAAAAATGCCTGTTTTCTTCCCCTTTCATCCCACTGCTTTGGATACAAATACAGTACTGTTAGTTTTAGCAGCATTAATTTCAGCTCCTTTTTAAAAAAATATGGAATACAAACTTTTAAAGGATCCCTAAATGTCTTTTATCTCTCGCTGAGGCTTGTCAGTAGTTAATGAGCAGGTGCAGAGTGCTTCACATTTTGTGGGCAAATGCAAAGGACACCCCTCAACCCTCTCCCATTTGCTGCTCCCATCGAAGAAAACTGGCCTCTCCTGACTGCAGCAGGTCTCTCTCATCACTTTCCATAATAATTTGGAGCCAGATGAAAAGACAATGATATATTTTTTACAAAAAGAAATAGCATCTGGGAAGGCAACACTAAGCCGAACGGTAGGTGTAAAAACACAGATACACAGAGATGACGCACACTTCTCAGGGAAAAAAAGAAATGACAAATGAACCAAATGAAACATCAAGAGAAGGACTCACACTGACCCATTTGGAAGACAAAGACGGCAAAGCGGAAAAGCTCTCAAAAGCAGCTTGTGAGGCCTCTGAGAGATGTCCTTCTGGCATTTCATCACAGCAGCCCCAGACCAGCTTCACCTCCCTGGATACAGCGCAGGGAGAACTAAACAGAGCTGTTTATTAGAGCTGTTGTGCTGGATTGCATTCGGAAACAGGAGCGGACCACCTGGACCTTTCAGATGGTGGCCGTGTGTTTAATTTGCAAGCTGCCCCTCTGCAGCCGCAGCCAGGGCTCCTACATTTCCCCAGCTGAAATCACACATTATATCTGGGTTAGGGAGAAAGAAGAAAGAAAAATCCACATGCTACATGCCAAAAGAATACAGTCGATCCGCAACGAATACAGAAAACAGACACCACAACTCCCCGTGTAAACATTACGAGCACTTTCTTTACACTTTGTTTGTTTTACTTGCATGTATTTGAGTCCCAAAGACAAAGCTAAAAAAAATCGCAATGGGATTTTTTTTAAAAAAAGCACAGAATGACATTTTTAACCACTTATGCCTCTGGCCAGATTAATGTGGCCTTTTGTTGCTCCCCAACCCCCCCACTTTCTGCCTCCGCAGTTACTTGCAGCTGAAGCTACAGACAGAAAGATGGTACTGTAAATATGAATTATGTGAATCATATGGTTAGTCTCTTGTGGGGGGGGGGGGGATAAAAGGGGAGTTGAGAAATGGCTGACTCCATACCTGACCAATTACAGCTTGCATGGTCCCTGTGTCCTGCTGAGCTGCAAGATCGCAATCCATCATATGTAGCCTTTGAAAACGAGAATGGGGGTTTCTGGCATGCATCTGTCAATCAACTTCTGCACTCCCAGCCATCACCAAAAGCAAGGGGGAAGAGAAAAAAGTAAAGCAGCTCCACCAAATAGGATGAAACAGTCATGTGACCTTCACCACTCTCTCCTACACACATATATATATACTTCCATATAACATGTGAATTTTCTGCAGATATGAAATGACATTGACAAATACTCGATAGCAAATAAATAAGGAGAGACAAACAGCGATTCATCCAAGCCAAAACACTCACTATAATCTGTAGCCTTAATATTCGATCATCCTAACAAGACTGTGGCTTTATTTTAAAAGACTAAACTTTTTTTTTCTCAAAAAGACTATGATTTTATTTACAGGTGCGGTGGTCAGAAAGGTAACCCTTTCCTTCCCATTACTTTTTCTTTTTGTTGTGCTGGTAGTGTTTCAGTGTCCTGAAAGTTTGATCTCCTATTTCTTTTCTATTTCATGTCATTGTTTATGGCAAGACCAACTGCACTCTTATCTTGCATGCGCACAAACGTATAAAACCGTGAAAAATAAAATTAGAAGACTGAAGAATTAGAAAGCGCTGGGGAGGAGGCTTTAAACTGTTAGAGGTTAACAAGAAATTTACCATGTACGTCGTATTACACATTTCAGTAGCTAACGCTTCCTGACTGAACACCCAAGTATAAAATATTCAGACTATGTAAATCCTGCTTGCAGCATGCTTTTTATTTTGGAGGTTTGTGGAGTTTTGGTTCATTCGCTGCTCCACTGAACTGACATAAACTGTTGTTACTTATGATGGCAGACATTAACATCCTCTCCCTACCCCCATCTGCAAAGAAAGCAGTCGCGTATTCTGTCCCTTTCCCAAGTTAAGGTTTTCAGAAATGTCTGAGACTGTTTCCCTTTCTAGAATGAGCAACACACACATCAGCTTCCAAAATCTGATGTGTGTGTGCAACATGTGAGAGTATTGATTGCTGATAAATTATTGCCTGTAATAGCTGATGGCTGGATGACATTAATGTATCCTTATAGCATTTTAAGAGCAGGTGGGTGAATACAATAATAAGGCAATACAGCTGTTCCGTTAATGAACTGTACATCAGTTAATGCATCAGCTAGCAAATCATGACACCAGTTGTCTCCTCTCTACCATGTGAAAATGGTCATTGCAGGGGGAGAAATCAGAATACAAGATATCAGGTGCTGGAAAACATACCACTAGAATCATAGAGTTGGAAGAGACCTCATGGGCCATCCTGTCCAAACCCCTGCCAAGAAGCAGGAAAATTGCATTCAGAGCACCCCCAACCGATGGCCATCCAGCCTCTGTTTAAAAGCTGTTTGGAAGCTTTTAAACAACACGATTCCAATCTGGATTAAAGCGTCAGTGTATAAGCATCCTTAGTGGCCCGCAGTGGCGCAGTGGGTTAAACCCCTGTGCCAGCAGGACTGAAGACCGACAGGTCACAGGTTCGAATCCGGGAAGAGGCGGATGAGCTCCCTCTGTCAACTCCAGCTCCTCATGCGGGAACATGAGAGAAGCCTCCCACGAGTATGATAAAAACATCAAATCATCCGGGCATCCCCTGGGCAATGTCCTTGCAGACGGCCAATTCTCTCACACCAGAAGCGGCTTGCAGTTTCTCAAGTCACTCCTGACACGACAAAAAAAAGCATCCTTAGTTGTCTCTGAAATTGTACTCTAGCACTGATCTCATGGACATCTGAAACACCATGTTTGGCAGTACAGGCATGTAATGAAATTACAATGTTGCTTCCCATTTCATATAATTATTGTTAACTTTAATAGATTTGTTTTACCGTATTTTCTTAATAGCCCCCGGTGGCGCAGTGGGTTAAAGCACTGTGCCGGCAGGTCGCAGGTTCGAATCCGGGGAGAGGCGGATGAGCTCCCTCTATTAGCTCCAGCTCCTCATGCGGGGACATGAGAGAAGCCTCCCACAAGGATGATAAAACATCAAAAATCATCCAGGTGTCCCCTGGGCAATGTCCTTGCAGACAGCCAATTCTCTCACAACAGGAGCGGTTGCTCCTGACACGACAAAAAAAAGAAGAAGTATTTTCTTGAGTCTAATGCACATCTTTTTTGGCTAAAACACATGGCCAAAATTAGGGTGTGCGTTAGTATTGAGTATTACGGTAATCTAAGAACTGAGCCAAAGTAAAGAGGGACGTTCCTTTGGAAGGGACATGAGGCTTGCAAACAGGGAGCAGCCACTGGGAAAGAGGAAGAAGAAACACAAGAAAGGAAAGCTACTTGCTTTTCAAAGATTTCCTGCCTCCTTTTGCCAGGGTTAGAGTGCTTCTGAAAAAGGGGGCCACAGTGGCACAGCGGTTAAACCACTAAGCTACAGAATTTGCTGACCAAAAGGTTGGTGGTTTGAATCTATGGGGCGGGGTGAGCTCCAGCTGTTAGCCCCAGTTTCTGCCAACGTAGCAGTTCAAAAACATGCAAATGTGAGTAGATCGATAGGTACCACTTCTGTGGGAAGGTAACGGTGCTCCATGTAGTCATGCCGGCCACATGACCTTGGGGGATCTATGGACAACATTTCCATGGAGATGAGCACCACTCACCAGAGCTGGACACGACTAGACTTAATGTCAAGGGGAAACCTTTACCTTTACTAGACTGCTTCTGTAGCCAAATGGAAGACTGTGAGGCAGGGAAAAACCTGTTTGGGAAGGGATGAATGAGTGAGGGAAGGAAGGAAGGAGAGAGAGGAGAGGCAGCAGCTGCTGCCAAACAGGGCCCACAAAGTAATTTTGGTATTGTTTTATTGTTTGGGCGGAGGCCACTGGAGGGCGGTAGAGAGAGAAGGATAGTCCATTTTATGGGGGTGAAGAATGGGTTGAAGGAGAAAAACCATTCCCCCTTGTTTTCCTTTTACTCCCCCAGTTCCCGTCCCCGTCATGGAAACAACACTTGTTTATGATATGTGAAGAGGGAAGGGAGAATAGCCAGCAAAAATGGGAGAAATGGTTTTCCTCCTTCAACTCCCCCCCCCCCCCAACAATACAATTTACTATCTTTCACTCTCTAGTGCTCCCTAGTGGTCTCCACCCGGATAATGGAACAGTACAGTGATTTTTTCCAATTCCATCACCTGAAATATAAACCACCCCAACTGGTGTTCATAGTACTGACCCAGTTTAGTTTCCAAAATCAAATAGGACTTGCCTCATCCCATTTTAAAACCTGCAGAGTTCTGGAACTTGTAATTCAGTGAGCTACAGGACTTCCCTTGCTAGGAAGGATAAAAGCTCCTCCCTAAACTACGGGCTCCAGAATCCTCCCCCGTAGATTCAAACCACCAGGGAGAGGTAGATGAGCTCCCTCTATCAACTCCAGCTCCTCATGCGGGGACATGAGAGAAGCCTCCCACAAGGATTGAAAGCAAGTGCAGAGTAGGGGAAGAGGGGCTTCAATTGCTGGAAGATTTGTTGTTCTAACACTTTGGTTTTCACAGAAGCCATTCTAAGTAGGTAGTCGTTGGAGTATTTAGTCCCCATATTTTAAATTGTAAGCTAATTTGTACTGCAAAAGGCTTGACATTATCCCTCAATGAGTTGCAATTATGATGTAATTTAGTTTTACATATGTTATTGAAAAACAAAATCAATTACAGACAGTTCCCAAGTTACAAACCAGACAGGTTCTGTAGGTTGTTCTTAAGTTGAATTTGTATGTAAATCAGAACAGGTATATTTTAAGTGTAACTCCAGCATGCAGATAGATAGATAGATAGATAGATAGATAGATAGATAGAGATAGATAGATAGATAGATAGATAGATAGATAGATAGATAGATAGAGGGGCAGCTCAACCCATTACGCAAAGTAAGCATTCGCAGTATAGTTGATTTTGCCCAGGGGCGCTCTTGAGGCGCTCTTGGGAGAAAATAGACCTTGACATATGCGAGTTGTAGTTACTGGGATGTATAGTTCACCTAAAATCAAAGAGCATTCTGAACTCCACCAATGATGGAATTGAACCAAATATGGCACACAGAACTCCCATGACGGACAGAAAATATGTATCAACTAGCTGTGCCCTGCCACGCGTTGCTGTGGCCTATAGTAAAACTTATCAAAGTTGAGGTAGATATCTGGACTATTATGAAAGAGAGGTCTCTACCTATTCCTTCCCCCTTTTCCTCCCCCTTTCTCTCCTTTCTTCCTTCTCTACCTTTCTTTCTTTCCTTCTTTCACTACTTGGTTTCATCCTTCTCTCTTTCCTTCATTCCCTCCCCCTTTCTTCCTTTGCCTTTCTTCCCTCCCTGTTTGCTTCCTTCTTTCACTTTTTATTTCCTTTTATTTTACCACCATCATAACAATAACAATAATGCAATGCATTGCCTCTGGGACCTGACACCTCTCCCATTCCCCCAGGGTCTCATAGGAACAATAGCATAATAATAATAATAGAAATAACAACCTTTACCCGCCACGTGTTGCTGTGGCCAATCTTCCCTTTTTCTCTCCTTCTTTCCTCCTTCCTTCCTTCCTTCCTTCCTTCCTTCCTTCTCCTTCCTTCCTTCCCTCCCTCCCTTCTTTCCTTTCTCTATCTCTTTCCTTCCTTCCCCCTTTTCTTTCTCTTCTGCTGTTTCTCTTTTCTTTCCTTCCTCTTCTTTCTTTCTTCTCTTTCCTTCTTTCTCTAACTTTCCTTCCTTCCCCTTTTTCTTTCCCCTTTCTCTTTCTTCCTTCTTCCTTCCTTCCTGTCTTTCCTGGATTTTGGCAGGGCGGGGAGGGGCGGGGGGGGGTTTGGAGGTGCGTGAAGTAAAAGGAGGTAAGATTGGGGCGGGGGGAGTGATGGAGGTGGGGGTGCGTGTGTGTGTGCGGCGGCGGGGGGAGGGAGGTGGGGTTGCGTGTGTGTGTGCGGCGGGGGGGAGTGATGGAGCGTGGGGTTGTGTGTGTGTGTGCGGCGTGGGGGGAGTGGGGTTGCGTGTGTGTGTGGCAGCGGGGGGAGTGATGGAGCGTGGGGTTGCGTGTGTGTGTGCGGCGGCGGGGGAGGGGGGGTGTGTGGGTGGCGCGGCGGCGTGGGGAGTGGGGTTGCGTGTGTGTGTGC